GTTGGCGTAGACCGACTTGAAAGATTTACGTATTGTGTTGACATCATGGATGAAGTTGATAGACTCCATGCGCATGCCTAAACGTTGTCCGATACCGTGAGTGACCAATAGTAGGTGCTCGATCTCACGTCCTTGCTCTTGTTTATCCTGTGTTTTGTAGTCCTCTCGCATCTCTTTCTCTTCTCGTTTGCGCGCCTCTTCTTCTTGCTTCTCCTGATAGTCAGGCTGCGAAGACGTCATCAGCGATGACACTTGCCTCTCGAGTGTTCTCCGGCGCGACTCCTGAGGAGACTCAACTCGCTCGTTGTCTGTAGTTTCTGCGTCGGAAACTCCCTCAGACCCAGCATTAGTAGGCTTTTCGTTGTCGGATCCATATGCTAGGGATGGTGTTGAGGGGCGCTCGGTCTCCTTCTTGCTTTTGGGATTCTTGGACGAATCTGTTTGTTTCTTCTTTTCTTCGGGGTCCGTGTAGCCACGGATGTACCTATAACCTGCGTAGTGTGCTCCACCCGCGAACCGTTGGTACAAAGTACTTCCCATGCGCGCCCACATATCGTCAGTCAGGAGCCATGCCGTGTTCTCGTCTTGAAAGGTAACCGTGGAGTTCATGTGGGCACCAAAAAGTCGATGCGTTCGAGGAGTCTCAGCAGGAGCGTTGGTCGATGCTGCCTTCTCGTTAGGACTAGCACCGTCTTGCTGTTTCTTTGCTTCGCCGCGGAGATTGTCAAACGACCCTCTTGGGGTGACCGGGTTCGAAGTTGAATCCCGATTGAGCCGACCGAGCTCTTTGCGATAGTCGTCGCTCAAACCAGCTCCCATGGACACAGGACGTGCGCGAGGCTGTGAGGCTGCACGCTTCTCGTCTGGCTTTCCGAACCGCCATGGCTTGACCTTGAGATAACCTTCCTCGAGCTGCATAGCCAGGCCTTCATCCACGGGCTCACCGCTCGGTGTGAACCATGTTCCTCTCTTGACATCGTACACGGGACCCAGCCAGTAGGAAGGGGCCAACTCGCGCGTCTCGATTTCAACGTCGAACAGGTAGTCTTCATTCACAGAGACCTTTGTAGTAGCTACAGGCTCGTGTGATGGCTGCGAAGGCGTTACTGGGCTGAGCAGATCTTTCCTCTGCTCGGCAGCTTCAGCCTCATCGGCGGTTTTCTGGAAAGCAGTCTCAATGGCGCGAGAGTCGCCTTTGCTGAAAGGGATCCATTTCTTTGGCTTTGGGAGGGGTTTATCGGGCGTGATGGCATGTTCTGACAGCGGCTTCCGCTTCGGTAGCTGTTTGACGTCAGAGGTGTTGGGGTGGAAGGCACACGAATTGTCTACTTACATCTACAGCGTGAAACCACCTCACCGCAAGCGGAGGGCAGTCGCGAGGATACCGCTTCAAGCTCAGTCGGTGTCTTCGATCGATGACGTGATCTCCGCCTCGCTGTTTGCCGAGTCCACCGGTGCTTGCATCCTGCTCTCTCTCCTTCTCCTTGCCCTTGGTCTTGTCGACCTCAGCCGTGGTCGGTGTTGGCGGGGGCTTTGGGGTAGCTGCACGTGAACCCCACGGCGAGAGCCCGGCAAGGAAGCCCTGCTTGCCCTCAGCAGGAGCTGACATCCTGTCGAACGGTGGGGCGACGCCGCCGGTGGGAAGGAAACTCAGCCAGCTCTTGTGTCGGTGTAGAGCTGTGCCGAGCTTGGGCAGGTACGAGGGCGGTCGATGAACAACGCGAAGGGTTGCGCGACGGAGCAACGTGGTGGGCGGTTTGCAGGAGGGATGGGAGGGATGGAGCGGGTGTTGTATGCAGCACGCAGAACAGCGGTCAGCTGCAGATTCTTTGTGTGTGGAGCGCGTGTTTCAAGCGGTTGCGTACTCGGACATTGCATGTGGCTGCTGCGGGAGGATCATTCGGAGACGTTCCAGGATTGACATCACCGAGGGGACCCTGCACCTGCCAGCTGGCGTGGGGCAGCTCCCTGCAACTGTCACAACAACGATCAAGCCTCGAACACTACACTGCACTGCACTGTGCACTGATGTTGTGGCTGTTCGTTTGTATATACCGAGTTTCATGTGTCATCATACTTCTCGCCAATACGCTGAAATCAATCAACTTAGTCGTGACGGTGCGACTTTTGAATCCTCCGCTTTCTTACTTGCCACTTCACGTACACCTAGTCTATCCGCATCTATTCCTCTTACTTACACCAACTTCCACCAACATGGTATAGACACAACATGCCGTCGTTCTTCCAGCCTGCCTCCATGATCAGAACGATAGACGACTATCGCAACGTTGCCAGTTCTGGCCCGTCAACAAGCAACGAGCCTTTAGCCCCAGGAAAGGACAGCTTCACCATAGCCGATGCTGCACATCTGAAATTGAAGCTTCAATCCCTGAACAATGCCCTGTTACGCACTCCGCTCAACCAGCATCATCGTCTCCGGCTGGAAGACATACTCCAGACCCCTGTTCCTCGCACCTACATCAACGGTTCAGAGGAAGTGTATCTCCTGGTCGAGCACTTGTCGTGGCCAGCCTTGATTCCTGATGTCTTTGTGAAAGCCTACGGTCAAGCACTGCATTCGCAACATTTTACAAATATCTACAAGCGAATCCAATGGAAGAAAGGGTTCGCCCCCATCTTTTCGGAGGTTCGCCACCTACTGCCTCAGTTGGACGCTCTGTGCGGTACAAGGCTGTACACTTTCTTCCAGGAAGCCAACAGCAAAGGTTTGTCTTCGATCATGAAAGGTTCGCTCTGCTCGTATATCTAACGATCAAAAGTGAAGCCATTTCCTTTCTTACGACTTCCGGCAGAGCTGCGCCTTCAAGTCTACGATCATCTCCTACCTTCCTTCGCATTTATCCCTGTGCATCCCTGGTTCTATCCTGATCACATTGATCGTCCACCAAGAGGCTTGGATATCATGTGTGTAAATAAAGCATTGCATGACGAAGTTGCTGAGCACTATTACGACAAACGTGTTCTTCTGATCAATGCCTCCAGGCAGTTCAGGAACGATTCCAAGGACTGTCCGACGTGCTTTACACAGTATAATGCGACCGAATACGTTCAGCGGATCACAAATATCGATCATGGAATCAGGTTCAGGTTCAAGAGGTTGGAGATTCAAATCATGGACGAGTTCATCCCCAACGGCGTACTCCCAAGGTCAAACTCGGTGGAGCGACCAGATCAGACTGCATTGCAACGAATCTGCGCTTCTCTGCCGAACCTTCAATCTATCGTTATCTCTTACCACAGATACCAGGTTGACCCAATCGATGTCGCTGTTGAAGACCAACGATTTACAATGGCGTCTCCGCAAACTCCAGAGAGGTCGTTCCATACGCCTCGTCGAATCGCGCTCGAATGGCTCCGTCCACAGCTATCAATAGCAGGACCATGCATCCGGTGGGATTTGACGAACTTCCGCCACCCGGTCAATGACGCAAAACAGCTGAGAGATGCGATACGGCTGGAGACGACGATGAGGGAATTGATCGAGCGAGATGGTTGTCTTGAGCTGGCACAAAGCGCAACCGCCAACCAGAAGGATTTGCAGAGATGGGCAAACGTCAGATCGATGGTTCTTGAGGCGGTCAAAAGGGCATAATCAGTCCATTGGACCCTTGCATTTGACGCGGGCTTGCATGTGCCCCACCCACACGGCCAGTCAAGAACAAAATTCGCCGCAATTCGCAGACCAGCGAACCCAGCCATGTTTCCTCCCACATGATGTCCGTCTAGCTATTGAACGCTCGTAATATATTTGTTCCAAGACCACAAACCTTCATCAAATCAGGTGAGGTGGCCGAGTTGGTTATGGCGCCAGGTTAAGGTCCTTCCTTAGCATTGCTTAGCAATAAGCTTCCTGGTCACGAAAGTGGCGCGGGTTCGAGTCCCGTCCTCATCAGCATTCGTTCAACAATCGTTGAGCACTCCAGGATATCTTTTTTTGCGTTCGAGATCTCTTGGTGGGCGGAGATCTTCTGTTTTGCTGAGTTAGGTTAGTGCGGCGCTAGATCAATCAGATTAAGCGTAATGGCAGTCGCACCCGAGAGGTTCGGGCGCAGCCCTCGCCAGCAATGGCTCGACAGTAATTCAAGCAACCCACAATGTATCTTTTTGCCAATGAGTGTTATGGGATACGCTTCTCAGCGACGTCATCTCTAGCTCTCTACGTCCTGTCTTGTTGCAACGGAGCACTGATTAAGCTTCTTGCTTTACTGCATTGTTACGCAGTTTGTTCAATACCTTAACCTCCCATGCGTCTGAATTAACTTGCCTGTTCAAGGCACAACTAAATGCATTTAATAGAGTACACTGATCAACCTTACCTGTCAGCTACCGATAGTCAAAAGCTGCGATTGGAGTCTACAGGTGAATTTTGGTCATGTACTCGAGAGCAACAACAAACTGAAATCTTTCAGCGCGTTACAATCTAGACCATAAATAACCGTCTCAAGCATTAACCTAGCAAATAGTGACTATAACTTACTTTTCTTCCTTATCTCTTTACCACTATACACGTCCTGACAAGCAAAGTTTCTGTCGCGACGCAAGTTTCGAGAGACTCTTTTTGACCATTCAACCACGCATTGAATCAACTGAGAAAAATCATAACAACCACACAACACTGTCAATGCTGCTTAAAATCGAAGACGTCACTCCCAGTAGCACAAAGAAAGTAGCGAATGAAATTCGAAGGAAGAAAATGTCAACGTTTTCTCCTCAATGCTCCTATCCACCCCGTTCCGCCGGTGCACACCCACAACGCCGCAGCGCCTCAAACCCTCCCCACTACCCACCATCCCAAGTTACCCTTTCCTCTCCACCTCCCTTCTCTCTACCCTATCTGTACCCAATCCTGCTCGTCGCTCGTCTCGTGTGATGATCTCCCCGTCTCTCCACACCTCTTCTCCTCTTTTCCAGTACCGATATAAATTGTCCAATTCACAAAGTTTTCAACAATTGCCCCATTAGGCAATTCATAATATCCAGTCGCTTTAGCTCACTTGGGAGAGCGCCAGACTGAAGTTCTCAGTCATTGAAATCTGGAGGTACTGTGTTCGATCCACAGAAGCGACATTAGCTTCCGTGCCCTGCGAGTCGGGGATCACGAAAACGATTTTTTTGGAATTGTATTTTGCTTGGGTGGGGATTAGGCTAGCTAGGTGGGATGATTGGAGTTTTCCCTCTTCCTTTTGTGGATATGCCGTTATGTGCTGGCCTGAAGCACTTAGGTTCGCGAAAAGAATTTCATTTTGTCATTTCTTGGGCACTTTTAGGTGCTATTGTGGCGAATTTAGGTCAGATATAGACCAGAAGATTAGTGTTGCAGGACCATTCACAAGTCGCCTCGTAATTCAAGCACGTGTCATAGATTGATGATACATATAATATACATTTTAGTAGTACACAGGCTCCAGATGCTGTTCTCCGATGTACGCAAGGGACTTCACTCTGGACCTCAGACAGCTGTTTCTGCTTACGCCTGATCCTCTTCACCCGGTCTCGTCATCCGGTACACCAAAGTATCCCTCCACCCTAGTGTTGGATTCTCAAAGTCCTTCTCCCTCTTCTCGTAAAGCTGAAAGCCAACCTTGAGGAGGACATGCTGACTGCTCGATAGTTCGGGATCTGTACGTGCTTCTGCGTATTCGTATCGTTCATTTTCGCCGCCCGAGAAGTGTTCGAAGAAGAGAGGCATGAAAGCTCGCAGAGCTTCAGTCGCGTAGCCTTTTCCCCAATAGGATGCATTGAGCATATAACCGACCTCAGGAGCTCGTACAGCGCCGATGAGGCCTATGACGCGTGGTTCTGGCTGCTCGTGTGACGGCTCTGTAGGATGACTTCGTGCGGGTGTAGGGATGACATCGTGGCTGTCTACGGGAAGGAGCTCAATGACAAAGTTCCAGCAGTTGTCTCGGTCGTGGCATCCTGGAAGCTGTCAGTACACAAGTCAAGGATACCGTGAGTATGAGATATGACGTACCTTGAATCCATTGTTTGGTTTTCTCGAGATTGTCACTTGGAAGGATGGATCTAAAAGTTCTGAGCACATTAATACTTGAGATATGTACCACATGACACTTACGTGTGCTTCATCACCTCGGGATGCTTGCGCATAAGGACAACGTCTTCCGCGTCCTCCAGCTTCAGAGGCCGTAACAGCAGCCTCTCAGTCGTCGCAACAATTCGTGGGTCGACAACCACCATTCTCGACAGCAAATGTACGAAAGAACGCGTACATCGTCATGGTGTAGCGTGCTCTGCTGAAGTTAAGAGTCAGGTTGTGTCTGATGCTCGTGCTTCGGGGAAGCTGGGGCGCAACACCCATGTTTCCCAGGCGAGGCAGTCCGCTAGCCGCTTTAGACACCGACTTCTCTACCTCCAACCACAAATCTCTACATCATCGTTCCAACCGCCAATCAGCATGTTGGCTTGAACAGTATCTGAGCTTGTTTCGAACTTTGTCCCTGCCATCCCTTATCAGAGAAGCCAACCATGTCACAGTCAATATTGTCAGCCTCCGCCAAAGGGGCCACATTTCTGATTCTCCTGCAAGTTGCTTCTCGAGCGCTCACATTCGCGGTCAATCAGATCCTGCTCAGGTTTCTCTCACCGGAGCTCCTTGGCGTTTCAGCTCAGCTCGAGCTTTTCTCGATCTCAGTACTGTATTTCGCACGCGAAAGCTTGCGTGTCGCTCTTCAGCGTCAAGCACATGGGACTCAAGCCGTCATCAATCTCTCCTATCTTGCGGCCATCACAGGACTTCCTTTGACATATTTCCTTGCTCACTTGTGGCTTCGTTCGGACACGCCTAACGTACCATATTTCGTGCAAGCCCTGGGCTTGTATTGTGTTGCCACAATCATAGAGCTTTTGACTGAGCCTGCATTCTCAGCCGTACAGCAGAAGTTACTCTATAAAGTCAGGGCATCTGCTGAGAGTACTGCTACTCTGCTTCGATGCTTCGGAACATGCGGATCTGCCATCTTGGCAAGTCGCGCTGGCGTCGATGTTGGAGTCCTGCCGTTCGCCATTGGCCAGCTGGCCTACGCCCTGGGGCTGTTGGTTGTGTACCTGTACAATATGTGGCCGATTTCACGCAACGAACAGTTCACACTTCTTCCGAAACAGCTTGCTACGACTAGAGAAACTCCGATCACGTTCAAGTATCTGTCAAGTCCTCTTCTTCGACTTACAGGGTCGTTGACTTTGCAGTCGGCCCTCAAGTACATCTTGACACAGGGTGACTCGTTACTGATTACGACGTACACATCACTCGCTGATCAGGGCGCATATGCGCTTGCATCCAACTACGGCGGTTTGATTGCTCGCATGTTGTTCCAACCCATCGAGGAGAGCAGTCGTAATATGTTTGCGAAGCTGTGCGCAAGCTCCGAGCCAGAACTAAACACCCAAGAGACGGAACAAAATCAGCAGTCGCAAGAGGATAAACAGAACTTAGCGCAAGCAGGCAGGGTGCTGACCATCATCTTGCGCTTGTACGCCATCATCTCGCTGTTTGCGGTGACCTTGGGCCCAACACTTGCGCCGCTTCTCCTGTCGGTCGTTGCTGGCAAGAAGTGGTCTGCTACAACCGCTTCGAAAGTTCTGGCGACGTACTGCTACTACATACCTTTCCTGGCCATCAATGGGGTAACAGAAGGGTTTGTAGCCGCTGTTGCTACCAATAAAGAGCTTTACGCACAATCCGTCGCTATGGGCATCTTCTTTGCTGCGTTCGCCGGCAGTGCGTGGCTCTTTATAGGAGAATTGGAGCTTGGTGGTAGTGGAGTGGTGCTTGCGAACACGGTGAACATGGCACTGCGCATCATCTGGAACACTTTGTTCATCAGGAAGTTCTTCGGGCAGAGGAACACGTCGTTCAAACTCTCGGAAACACTTCCCTCGTTTACTTCTCTTGCGCCAGCAGTTGTCATTCCCATCATGATGCAGATGAGACCGGGATTCAAGTACCTTGCACGATTCGGTGTGCTTGGAGAGCTGGTCAGCATGGGCGCTGTCGCCGGTACCTACGTTGTGCATGTCCTTTTCTTTGAACGTCAGTTCTTGGTTCAGTGTTATCGGATGCTGAGGCCAGCCCAGGCTACTCAGTCAACCAAGTCACAGTAGAAGCTCTTTATAAACCACATCAGACCTAAGTATACAGAAAGAAACTGGACAGTTAGTGTTGTGCAGAAGAGAAGATCAGACCACGAGAGAAAAAAAGAATTTGAGTTTGGAAGCGCCGAAAGAGCTGGAGGTTCAGTCCAGGTCGAATACCCCCCCCCGCATCACCATTGACCCCAGTCTCGCGTAGCTGCTCAATCCACTAGCGCTAGAATTTTGCAACCTGCAGGCACCGAGCCAAAGCCAACGTCATCCCAGACACACGTTCCTCAGCATAAAGTATCTGACGCATCACCAGACACACTCCGAGGCCGCTGTTTAGGTAAAAAAGGGGTAACAGAAACTGCTCGGAAACGCGAGTATCCAAGTCGAGGTGCTCTCGGAGTCATAGCGCATTTTCTATTCTTGATTCGACAAACCTGGGGGTAATAGAAACTTCGTCGGACTTGGCTACGACCAGGGTCTCGAAACGCGCCATTGCACGCCATTCTTTGCACAAACAGCCCTAACTGGAGCCTAGCGTACTCTCGGCACGGCTGCTCGCAAACCTGGAGAAACTGGGGTACGACTGCACGCCATGGCACAGAGACATTTGGAGAGGTCGCAGTTCTATCATGGACTGGTGGATATGGGAAGCAATGGCATTCGATTCTCGATAACAGATCTTTCGCCAGCTACGCAGCGTGTACTACCGACTGTCTATCTTGACCGTGCAGCAATATCGCTGTACGATGCGCAATACGAAAACGGAAAAGCTGTTCCAATTCCCGAGCATACTATCCAGCAAGTCGTGAAGTCACTTCTTCGATTCAAGTCGACCTGCCAGGACTTTTGCGTACCCGACGGTCAGATTCGTATAGTTGCGACTGAGGCGACGCGTAAAGCCATCAATTCTGAAGCGTATCGAGCTGCAATCAAAGAGGCCGTGGGATGGACTGTGGAACTGCTGCCTAAGGAAACTGAAGGCAAGGTTGGGGCACTGGGTGTAGCGAGCTCTTACGAGAACGTGCGCGGTCTGATGATGGACCTTGGAGGCGGAAGCACACAACTCACTTGGATCATCACAGAGAATGGTAAGATTCAGTTGAGCCCAGCTGGCAGCGTAAGCCTTCCCTATGGAGCCGCAGCCCTTATGCAACGGCTTGAAGCGGCAGGAAAGAAAAAGAGCAAAGACTATCAGACTTTTGCAAAGGAGGTGATCAAGGATCTGAGAGCAGCCGTACAGGAGATTGCAATCCCCCGGGAGCTACTCGAATCCCGTGAAGGTCTTCATCTCTACCTCTCAGGAGGCGGTTTCCGTGGCTGGGGCTTCGTGTTGATGTCAGAGCATGCCATCAAGCCGTATCCAATTCCCATCATCAATGGGTTCCGCTCATCCACGGACGAATTTCTTGATACGATGTCTGTCAAGGCTGCTGTGACGCAGGATGATACACCAGAGATCTTTCGTGTGTCGGCACGGCGAGCAAGCCAGGTGCCAGCAGTCGCCTTTCTAGTCGAGTGTCTGTCGCAGGCTCTCCCTGCTCTGAAGAGCGTGTACTTTTGCCAGGGTGGTGTTCGAGAGGGAATGCACTTTGCAGAGATGGAACCAAAGTACCGAGCTGAGAGTCCTCTGGTGACAGCTACGGGACCCTATGCACCGCCATCGATGCAGCAGCTGGTTGATCTACTCTTCTCTGCGATTCCTGCTCCTGTACCTGGCCACAAACCCCTCTTCAGCACACCTCTCATCACGGCTTTCATTCAAGGTGTTTTCGCTCACATGGCGCAAGTCAAGGACCTCCGTGGTGGCTCAGCTCTGAGAAGCACAACAACAGGCATCTTCTCAACAGCCCATGGCGCGTCGCACGAGGATCGGGCCCTCCTCGCCGTTCTCCTCTGCGAGCGGTATGGTGGATACGGCTCTATCAGTCCCACCGAGCAGGATTTCTACAAGCGTGTGGTCCGCC